CAATAAAGTTTTTATTAATAAATGCAAAAAAAATACATAAAAAGTAGTCCATGAAAGCAGTGACTCAGTGCGTCAGTGCAGCTGCACCAGGACCACCTCGTAGGTGAGGATGGTGCCGGCCAGGGTGAGCAGCAGCCCTCGCGTCACCTTGAACATGCTGCAGCCCGAGAGGGCCACGTCGTCGGACGTCACCTGCACCAGGAAACGGTACACCTGCGCCCGAAGGAAAAACGCGCAAAGTTCAGTATAATAAAGTATTACGAGGTGTTATATATGGTGGATTTAGTCTCGTGAGGCGAGTCGCCACACGGTGAGGCGGCCTCATCCTCATTGAGGCACCTCGCCTCAGAGGTTTTTAGGGCTGTGATTGGCTGAAAACCTCTGAGGCCACCTCGCCGAGTGGCGAGTGGCCACTTGCCTCACGAGGCTAAATCCACCATCAGTTCAATCATGAGGAAGCTGCTCGATGCTCGATGAGGGGAAGCGCGGAGGAGATGGCGTGGCGTAGCGGCGTCCCTCAACAAAACAGAACGCAGGCGATCTTACTATGTTTTGCCCAGTTTTGCCGTGAGTGGATGTGTGGTGTGATCTTCAACCAAGTTTTGTACAATATGTAGAACTTGAGTCTAGACTATAGCGGAGTAGCATTCTTGTGTCAATAAGTGGTTCCGTAAAGTTTGGCTTCGTAAAAAGTAAGTTTACTCAATCTTCTACACCGGCCCGTTGTCGTTGTCTAGGTTAGCACTCGAGAGTAAATATTGCATTGAAACGATCTTAGTTTAATGATAATGACTCAACTGTCGTAATAAACTTTGGTTAAGGTGGTACTAAGGTGCCAGATGCATAAGCTCGTTCCGGGCCGTTCTAAAGAGTTTGAAATTTGCGACGACATGTGACATAACCTCTGCTAGGCTGTCGCTCATCTTCTGCTTTTGTTTAGGGACGGCGCTACACCACGCCACCTCACCTCCTCAGGGCTACCTTCTTCTTGATCCTCCTATCGAGCAGCTTCCCCGTAAAATGGTGAGTTTCGAAATGCCTTTTTGAAACACCGAGCTGTCCGGCCAAGCGCCGCGGGCCCGTCCGTACCTCCTCGTTGTAGTCCTCGGAGCAGACGCAGTACAGCACGTCCTGCACGGAGCGGCTGTTCTCGTGGACCGAGGCGGCGAACAGCGACACGGCTGAGGCGCGCACCACGAGGAAGCCGAAGGAGAACAGGATGTACAGCTCCTCCCACCACGTGTCGTTGGGGTTCTGCGGGTTGCTTCGCGTCGGCAAAACCGAGAAGGAAAACAGCTTTTATTGAGGAAGATGGTGCAGTTGTTTAGGTCGTAGGTCGGCGGCGGCGCGGTGACGCTCGCTCGGGAATGCCCACCACCTCGTGCCCGCCGTCGTGGGCCATGTGGACTCACTCGAAGCCTCGCAGGAGCTGCATGCAGATGAAGTAGAGGTTGTTTACGAAGGACACGAGCAGCTGCACGTTGAGCGCGTGGTCCACGAGGCGGGCCAGCCTGCTGAGGGCGTTGTAGGAGCGGCGCGCGGACCGCCAGTACGCGACGCCCAGCACCGGCGCCGCCTGCGGCACACAGGCGATACCCCGTACGGTCAGCGGCGCCACCGAGTACAGTATGCCGTGTGGGTGGCGCCACCAGCCGCGGCGGGGGTGTGGAGTATAGCGAGACGTCGAGCACCTCACCCCCCAGCGAACGGCCAAGGCATTCGGTCCGGACGCGAGCTCTCCGCTCCGCACCGCTTCCCTGCTCATTATATCCCAGGGCACTCGGGGACATCGACCCTTTCTGAAGTCTCTAGTGAGCCGCGTAAAATGTAGACATTTTTCTCCACAAAACCTTACATAGGCAAACCACGATTCACCCTCCCTCCCCCC